TAGTGCACTATGAGATTGTACATGAAAATTAATTTTTTAACATTTTAGTTCATCCAGATAAAAGTCCAGGCAGAAATATTGGTAGAAAAAGCCCCTCTGATAACACTATTCCTAAAATTAAAATGGCATGATGAGTTTTGGAGAGAGAAGTTTGTATCATTTATTAAGGCAGATGGATACCTGGAAAAGTCAGACAAACTTTCAGACACCCAAGTCCTTCTTCATGCCTGATACAGAAGCATCAGACTTCAAAGCTAAATCCAAGTTGAAAGCAATTGCTCAGAGTTTAATTATAGAGCATTTTTCATAAAAAAAAAAAAGTCACTGCAGTTCTTGCCTTGAGGTCCTGATTCTCACAACTCCTTCACAAGATGAACCTCGAGACCAGGATGCAAAAAGTTTTGGCTTTAGTAGAAGTATCGGCTTTATGGCACGTTATAGTTTCCTTGCACATAATTATGTCCTCATGTCTCACAGTTGTAAAGTACCCATCTCTCTTTCGTTACAACTTGCCTACCTTATCAACTCTTCTTCCTCCTCCACATATCCCCTCTACTCCACGCAAGAAAGATATTATATGATCTAATATACTAAAATGAGCAACCTTCCCAACTTCTTTTTTTTGTTTGAAGTCCTCTATTCTGGGCATCAAAAAGAGCTTGCATGCTCAAGAACTTGACTTATTTTTATCTTGTGGAAAAAAATATTGATCCATATAACTCTTTCTTGTTATCATAGATCCTTATAGCTGGAATTTCACAACCCTTAGAATGTTCCAAACTACCCCACAATAATTCATCTTTTGTCACATTGCTCTCGGTAGAGATCCTCTAATCATAGGACAGATTTCATTCTTGATGCAGCTTGTCTCACTACTTTTTTTTTTTTTTTTAATGCAGAAAAAGCTCAAACAACTTCTAGGTTTTTCTGTGAACTGAATGTTGAGATTAGACTTTTCCCTCTTAGAGTACAAAGGCAGAGTTTCTAAGTCCTGTAATGTTGCTGTTCCAGCAAATTGGTTATAGCTTGATAATCTAATAATCATCTGTTGGTATTTTTTTAGCAGTGAATGACAAAACTTTAGGTCAACTACAAATCAAATAGCATTTCCAATACTGTAATAAATTTCATAGCAAAATAAAACTGAGTATTGTTATAAAATCAGACCAAAAATTTTGTTGCACATCTTGAAGCCCTTGCAATATGGTTCTTTTTTGTTTGGGTTACAGTTTTGGATTGAAGTCTTCATCGTGAAAATGATAAATTCTGATTCACCTTAAATTTTCCAATTAATTTATTTTTCTTTTCTGTCAATAGCAGAGTATTTAAGAAAAACAAACATCTATTTTGTAGGGTTTTGCAAAGCCTCTCATTATTCATTTTGCAAAGCAACAATTTGTCTGTAACATTATTGGATCATAAAGTCACTGAAAGCTTCTAACACTCGCCAAACAGGGAAAAGAACTTCAGCTGTCGTAGCTGATGAAAAATTTTCTAGTGGTTTCTGTGAAGGTGGGAAAACTGATAACATTTCTGACAGAGAGCTGTCTATAAGCTTTCCTTTGAAAAGAAACATAGATCATGGACAGTGGCTGAAATGTACCTGCATCTATAGCCATATCTGTAGCTGCCATATTGATGTCAGTCCCAAATTCTCCTTTAGGAATCTAATGCTGGTGAATGAAAGAATTAGCATCTGCACCAGAAACTGGATTTCAAGTAATGTTTTACAGTACTAAAAGTAATCCTACTTCAATTTTTCAGCATTAAGCTGTGTAAAGAAGAGGTGTTATTGTTCCTTTTTCTTCAAGGGAAATAGTTCCAGGCTGGAAATTCTGTGTTCAGTCATAGAGGCTATCCTTTGCCATAGAAAATTATTTTCCCCATGGCAGTTGGTGATGCCATTCCATAGGAAACGATGGAGATGGTATTTATCTTGATCTTCGTTTGTAAGAGAAGGTGGAGATAATATTTGTGGGATCCATGGGCTCATTTTGGTGAAACTGAGGGCTGCTTAGGCATGATACAAATTAACAAGAGAGATATTCATCTCCAGTAACTTTAAATCCAAAGGGAAAACCTCGGCTTGAAAGAATTTTCCTTGTCTTGTCCCTTGTCTATGTAGGCACAAGAAAAAAGATGATAACATTCATATCTAGATGAATATCACATGGAAACAAATCTTTTCGATTGTATTATGGTTTTTTGTGTCAGGGTTAGATTCATAAATTTAGTTGCTCCTTCACGATCTACTTGTAATTAAAATATGTATTCTTTTTGTTAATATTCTGTGTTAAAATTAGCCTAAGATGCATGGTACCAGAAAATACTGTAGTTCATCTTTTAAACATGAACTCTAATGTAATCATTAGAAGATAATGTTTGATTAAAATCTGAAATTACTTCTGGGAGGGAACTTTATATTTTACTGTGTTTTTGCTCTAAAGTATGAGTACTTCCAAGAATATCCCATACAACCAAACAAGTAAGTTTTACAGACAGAAGTTCTTCCATAGGTTTGCAAACATGAACGCCAGCAAAAAAACATCACAATTGTCTTAAGTAGATGATTTGATTAATAGAAAGTGGAAAATGTAAAATCAGTCTTTGTGTCTTTTTTTGTGCAAAAGCAATCTATCCCATCTTGTACTTAGGGATTTGCAAATCATATTTAATCATTAATAGGCATATACAATCATTAAATTATTGTAAATCTGCCTACTTCATATTTGCTGTGTGTTGAAAAAGAGAAATAAAGGCACTACAGTTGCTTAGAAAAATTTGATATAAAACTTTCCTGATGTGATTGTGATCAGATTGTGGGTTTTGATTGCAGGATTTCCCCTTGAATGTAGTTGTTTCTAGACTAACAGAGGCTGTTAATGAATGTTGACACCTTGAATGAAAATAATTAAAGTAATGCAAAATATAAATGATCCTTCAACAAATAGCTTTTTAACAGGTCAAAAAAAGGTGAACTCTGATGAAACTGGCGGGTTTTTTTTCTCTTTGTGTTAGTTCATCTCCTGAAGTATGGTACTTGTAAAAAACATTTGGGAAAAGCCAGCAGTTAATTTGAATACTAAATATTATTTGAAGGGAATCCAGCCTGCATTTAAAATAAAGGTTGAGTATAGAAAGCTGCTTTTTTTTTTTTCTTCATGCAAGTTATTCTTAAACAATTGCTTATGCTTGGGATGCACTTTATATTGGCCAAAGAGATCTTCAGATTTTTTCTCAGATTTTATCTTTTCTATGTGAAATAAAATTTACATTGGTGTTAACAGATACTTTGACGATTTTGTCCACTCTGTAATTTCTCTTTGACTTTTCCATATTTTTAGTCCCTAATCTCTCTTCATTTTGATGCAGTATTCATCATGACAGTAGTCTAAATTAAAGTGTCTGACAATTTAAAATTTCTGCTTATATTGGACAAATGTGAAAACATTTGTAGATTAAACTTGAGTAGTGAGTCAGAGAGTTCTTTCTTTCTCCTGCTACCTTCCCACATGGTCTTCAGCTTCTTGTCTTTCCACTGGCTCTCAGGCCAGGGTGTAGGTTTTGCCCTGATCCAAACACAGCAATCTACTCAATCTAGGCACATTGAGATTTCCTGTCTAGAGAGGAGACAGATGATAGCACTCAAGGAGTTTAATACAATAAATTATATTTCGATTCATTTATCAATTTTTTCCTGATATTTTGGCCTGAGAAATTTGAAATATCTGCTACCTCTATCGAATTCCAGAGCTCCTAGAATTGCTTGCATTGCAATTGTGCATTATTAGTGAAGAGAAAGCAGAAATTACATTTCAGAAATGTGTTTACATGATGGTGCCCCCAATGCTTATTCATGGAATGATGCCGTTTCCACACTGTTACTTCCTTAGACTTTAAATAACCTGAACTATTGTTAGCTGTGTTTAGCTGGCACAAGGCACAGTGATGCGATTATAATACTAATGTTTACATTATATTTTTGCCATTAAAAAAAATATAAATTCTTCAGTACCATGAGTTACCATTTCAAAAGTTCACAAATCAACAGTTAAAGGGCATCAGAGGAATTCTATGTAATTACTAGTCAACATCAGATCTTAAATGCACAAAGATCTCTAAAAGCAACAATTGTTTGAAAAGGATGGGAATATAGTTAGATAAACACTTTCTGCAATTCAAAGTAGAAGTTTCTGTGTCTCTTTAGTTTGATAATTACACACTATGAAAAACTGGAGACAGGGACTTAAGGATATTTGTAGATATAACTTAAATATTAAGTACCTCTCAACATTAGCAAAAAGTAATTATAATAATAATTATAGGCTCTATTGCATGCAAATGTGAATGTGCATCTGTGTGTATATGCTGGCTTAGAGATAATTATTAAATCTCTGTGAAAAATTACAGTAAGGAGTTGAACTAATGGGTGTTCTGGTGAGGCTGTAAAAATGTACCCTTAAAGAATATTTTTTACTTTGTCTTTAAAGAAATTTGCTTTGAAACAGTTTGTTTTATCATGCACCAGTTTTATCTTTTTTAATTAAATATGCACTAATTTTAGTATTATGCAATTCAAATATTTTAAATGTGTAAATTTTAAGCACAAGATAGCTTTTGTAATTTCTAAAACCTTGTTTCAGTGTTATTAAAATGGAAAAAGGTGATAGTTAAAACCATTGACTATGAAGAAGACAATTTATATCGATATGATTTCTTAATATTTTGCATGTTGTTTTCATTGTTTATATCAAGCAAGTTTTACGTGGATGTTTCTATTAACTTTACTTCAATAGAAAGACTATATCCCATTGTTTGTATTTTGACTCAGGCAAAGACATGGGAGTTAGTTGCTCATCTCACTTTATGGTAAATGCATGTGTGTGCACACCAGACTGAAATTACACTTGGAACTAATCATCCGTGGAGCCATAAAGCTCTCGCCTAAAAGGAGCTGTGGGCTCTGAAAATGTTGTAATTTACTTCTATTTTATTTGCAGATTGCCTTCTCACAGCACAATACTATCATGGATCTGGTGCAGTTCTTTGTCACCTTCTTCAGGTAAATTGCTTTTTCTGTCTTCTGACTGAGATAACGCTGATTCTTTTCCATCAAACCAATATCTTAACCAGCTGCTTAATCTTACGAAATGTCTGCAAGGAAGTCTTTAAACTGTGTTCTCTAATTTGCACCAGTGGAGGATCCAGGCCATTGTCCTGTGACTACAGGCAGCTGCTGGCATCTTTCATACATTTCATATTCACTGGTACAGTCTTCACACTTACTTTGTAAAGATTAGCTAGATATGTACTGTAGATTACAGTGATTAAGAAAAAACAGCTATACTGTCTCAAACCAGTAATTTATCTCTGTGATTTTTTTTTGTAAACTCTTTTAAAGAATTATTAAAAATGATGGTTCTGTTCAATAGCTTGTTACGTTTAATAGAGCACCCCAAATCATTACTAATGCTTTCACGTGTTAGAGATTAATTGTGAAGGGTAGTAGGTGAGGCTTGAGATTTGGTTATGGCAGCAATGCAGGAATTGGCTTCAACTGCAAATGGACAACTATTGTAGGATCTGAACAAAACTCCACTGAAAGACTTCTTAAAGGTTCAGGTGTCTGATAAAATGTCACAAACATTTATGGTTACACACAGATTAGTTACAGTACTTTGAAATCCTGCTGTGAAGATAGTCCTCAATAACCATGAAGTGTATGCAAAACGTGAACAGTGACAGACATCTATGTTCATCAGACTTTCTGTATTTCTGGAACTGCCATGCATTTATTTCACAACTTCACAGAATAGCTTTTCTGTTTGCTTTAATCACCGTGCTCTGAGGAACTGTACCTGAAGAATCAGACCCTTAAATGCGGTGAACAGACCAACTTCAGTTAATTGCTGCCACCTAAAAGCGGGCAGAAGTGAGCAGACCCTGAAGTCTTCTGTCCCGGTACATTGGCTAATGGGGAGTGGTTTAGTAGCAGATGCAAAACATCCCATTTCTCCTCTTTCATCACAAACAGAGCAATAAAATGCTGGTTGCCTACAGGTCAGTCCATAGTGGTTTGGGTTTTTAGTGTTTGGGATTTTTTTTTTTTTTTTCTGGGAAGCTAGCAAGATCCAAAACACGATGATGCTCATGCAAACCTCAAGAAGACAAACTCCTACAAAAGAAAGCACAGTTCTGCCCTAATGCTGGCTTAGAAAAGGTGAACTGTAGGCTGTTTGATGGTGAAGCCATCTCTATAGATGCATTAGCTCTCCTGGTGTGATGGTCTATCTGATATGGTTTGTTCTGGGTAATTGCAAACTTACTCTGATCCTGATGAAGGATCCCCCTTACAGAGAGAAAGGTTGTAGGATAGCTGGCAGCTCTCCTACTGCTGCTTCGACTCAGCCCCAGTCTAACTGTGTAACCCAGGCTTTCAGCTGGCACTCAGATGAAGAGGGGCTTACAGCTATCTGCAACATAACATTAATAATCAACCTTAGAAGCCTGGTTGCAGAAAAGCATAAATGATTCAGGAAATGCTGTGAGTAATGTGTTGCAGTAATCCAAGCAAGGGACAAAAATTAATAACAGGACATCCTCCAAAGGCACGTGCAATTCAAGCTAAGGTTGATGGTTATGATGAGAAATAGTGTTCCTCAAAATATATTTTCAAATCTTGGTGTAAGATTGTATGGTACTCTTCTACAACTGAATTGGTATGAAGGTGCTTGTAGACATAGGCAGAATATCCGGGAGTTTGAGCTCTCCTATGTTGTTGCTAAGAAAAAAATAGAAACAGAAAGAGTAGCACACAGTAAACTCAGACTTTGCAGAGCAGAACCTGAGAAGAAAGGGGAAGGGAAAGGAGAGGAGAGGCTTGACTTGGTTCTGGATGAAACAACCGCATGACAATAGTTATTTAGTTGCGTTGTGTTCCCAAGCTGATTTACTCTGCCAGGAAGATTAACCTCGGCTGACTGCTTGGCTAGCTGGCTTTTTCCAAGACACAAAACAGTACCTTCTGTGTGTTTGGTTTTTTTCAGTCTTATGTCCTGAAGCATGGGGTTTTCATGGGTGTGAGAAGTCCATTTATTTTCTTATCAAAGAGCCACAGCAATCATGCATAATACCACAGCAACACTCCTGACGCATAACTGCTGCGAGCGTCGCATCCTTGCTGACCTCAGTTAGCAAATGGTCAGTCGATGTAAATGATCCACAGAAGAAACCGTCAGGTTGTTTGTTGCTGTGTTGTAAATAAATGTAGGAAAAATACTTAGTGTGTCCTTTACAGAGAGCCAGACTAAGAAATGTAGAATGAAAAGTTTCCAGTCTAGACAACATTAAAAGTTTCAGCAGTTATTCAATTGGATGTTGTTTCTACAGGATCACTAGTCTAAACAAGCTGCAGAATATTTCTAACAAGAAGTTGTAGTAATAACTAATTCTTTTTTTTTTTTTTTTCATACTAGTGGACAGTGTTAGTGATACCCAAAGGCAGCATCAATACGTCCTCCCTAAGGTGGTTGATAGTGTTCAAGCCTTTGTCTGAAAATTTTCGTCTCAGCAGTTTGTAGCCTAACAAAATTATTTTAATAAGGGTTGGTTTGTTTGGTTGGGTTTTGTTTTGTTTTGTGGTGCTTGTTTTGGTTTTTGTTTGTTTGTGGGTTTATTGTTTTTTTTTTTTTTCCCCTGGGTGGGAATGCTGTATATTAAAACAGTGGCAAATTATGTTGGTAACAGTAATAACCCAGGTCACATTTGCTAGGTTTATTGACAGAGAAAATAATTGTGTTTAAAGACAATTTGAATGTACTTGATAGCAAAGCATGTTTCAACCTGCTTTGATAAACGTGCGTTTGCATTTCTCCCATCTAGTATTATATTTTCGTATTTCTGAGCACGTGGCACAACCCTGTTCACACTGGCTGCCTAGCCAAACCAGCAAATAGGTTTATTTGACAATAACAGGTTTTTTTAACAGTCTTTCAAAAGTATAGTTTAAAACTGTTCCTTTATAGGGTGAGTGTTCTAGAGTAAAAGATGAAATGCATATTTTACTCCTTGAATCAGAAACATCAAACAAACATTTTTAGAATTTTCCTGATGTATCAAGATCAACTATTTTAAAAATATTATTCTGTAAGGAATTTATTTAAAACTATACATAATAAAGCACAAATACTATGATTGGATCTGCAATTACTGCTTGATCTACCAAGATACTGTTATGGTATGTTCTAGAACAAAGAAGTTATAGAAATAAAAGTTCTTTTGAAAAAATAAGCAGAATGTTACAGAAACTGTAGTGCTCCGGACCATGATATTCATAGTGGAAAAAAAAAAAGCCCTGTTTAATTTCATTCTTTTTATACTGGACGGTTTCATTGTATCTACTGGTTCAGTGACCTTTTCTTTAAGAGTAGAAATGCAATCAGATATGTAAGAGTAGTAACAGATTCTTAACAGTCTTATAGAAACTGTGGTGTCTGTGTTGCTTTAGTCCTTGCCTTGAAGACTTTTAGCTGTCACACAAATTGAGAAGTGTGTGGCTTTTTTTTATCCACCTGCTTTGAAGCAGTACAGATCTCATTAGAAAATTTCACAGGCAGCAAATGTGAATGATCACTCTTCTTATACTGAAGAAATGCGGTTCCCACAGTTAAAGAAAGTCTATTCCTGTATTACCTTGACCAGTAAAACACTGAATAAGCTAAAGCCTAGCTTTTTTTTTTTTTTTTTTTTTTTTTTTCCCCTAAACTGTAAGTGAAAAAGAAGTTTTCAGTGTTTTCGAGTCTTACATGAATATATTGTTTTGGCTGACTAGGTGGCCAGGACATTTTAGGCATTTCATAATGGTGTATGAAGTATCTTTAGCTTCTGAAAACATTATTTACTTTTTCTTTCGATCACATTTTATCATGCATTAAAATCGACAATGTTCAATATTTATTAGTTTTTATTGCATGTGGTTTGAGTAAATCCAGAATTAAGAGCCAAGAAATTCCTGACTGCTAAACCTGCTTTTAAATAAAATTATAGTTATGAATTTATAACAGTACTCACGCATTTCTCAGAAAATTATTTGTATCCAGAATCTGAAGCAGGAGTTCTGGTAAGAAATGCGGTTTTGTCTCATAATCAAAAACCAGGCAAACACGACATTGGTCCAGGTGAGAAAGGGCAGCTATTAGTATTTTTGTGATAGGTAATAGCAACTGTTACTGCCGTAACTATATTTGTAAAGCCCGTTTCAGATACATACTACCACCCACTAACTAATCAGGCACTTCCTCTGAGCATACGTCTTCTTTATGTTCTCAGAACGATTCCCTCTCTTTTCTCTGGTTCTTGGGCAGGAGCTGCCCCAAGCAGTGGATTTTGTGTCTGGCTGGAATGGCACACTTTTGTCACTTTTAAAACATGTCTCCTTACTATTATGGGTTACAGAATTTCAAAATTTTTACTAAGTAGAACAATATTAAGTTATATGGATATTTTGAAAGTTTGAAAATAGGTTTTTTGTGTGTGCTTTGAGAATTTCTATGAAAAATTATGGTGATTTATGATCAGGGGTATGTTCTCTCTGACAAATCTTTCTGCGAGCATTTCAAGTGAGAGAAAACAATATTCAAAATATGCACGGTATTTATTGCAGGAGGAAGAGATGGGCATTTACCTTAAGATGTAGCGTGAGCCACAATAGGAAACACAGCAGTTACTGAAGAACCAGGTTTATCACCCCATATGTATGACTGTGTGCCAAAACCTCAGAACAGTCACCACGGTTGCGTTTCAGGCAGTGGGAGTGGATGGCTGCGTTTCAGTGGGTTGTATCGCAGCTCCTGCGAGCTTCGGGATCTACATCTGCCATTCAGGGTGTAAATTTGCAATGCATGAATTCCTTCTCTTTACCAGCATCCTTTGGGGTGTCTGTCTGGCTTCGTGTTTTGTTTTTGTTATAATGAAGGATGATAAATTAATGCTAGATTGTGGCATGCTTAGCTTTATGAGATCGAATATTGATCTCTGTAAGAAAGACAAAACACAGTGTGGCAG